TTCTTATGATTTAAAGGAAGTTATCGGCTAGAAATTATTTTGTGTGTAATATGGGTAGAGAATTTAGTGATAATGGATGATAGAAGCATAATGATAGTAGAAAGGATGGAAAGATAAAACAGAAAAGTGGAGGAATAGCAAATTTTGATGACAGGAAGATGATGATAATGTTGATAAAAGTTTCTATATTCATTTCCATTTGGTTAAAATTAACCATCGATTTAATTGAAGAAAGATCAAGCGAACTGCAAAGAAAGCGATTGTTGTGTCGCTCCTTAGCAAACGTGGGCGCTCCATGCCAAATATTTCTTGTGTGACAAATGTTTTTTTCTCGATAATATCACTTGCTCTAACATCATTATTATCATTGGGCTTAATGTTCTGGAGAGATTTCGATATCACATGTAGTGTTGCCATCCCAATGAGACGTGTGCTATAATTCGCAACATCACCGAATTCTTAGAAATGTGTCTAAATATAGTTGTGTGCGCGCGCGTGTGTGTGTGTATGTGCACGTGTGTGTGTGTGTGTGTCCCCGCGTGCGTACGTGCAACTGCATTTATAGATGAATGTCCGTATATACAAGTCCAATGTTGTATTATGAATGGATAATTAGCAGATTTGGCGTCATGTGGATTAAATTAGAAGACTAGCAGAAGGGCAATAGATATTTAATGACATTTCTAGACGAGAAAACTATGATAGTTTCATGTCTGGCAGTTTTTAAGCTGAATATCTGAGCATGCAGTTATCTAAATATTTTTTTTCCATCGTTATTGTTATTGTGATGTTAATATGATCGTTAATAGGATACTATTATGGATATGTTTCTACCAAACACTAATCATTTAGTTATATCTATAACCGAGTACTTTTGACCGAAATGTTTCCACGTTTTTCACTGTTAAACTGATTTTTGAAAATTATTTTTTGAATGTGTCGATTGCCTGAATAAATGTTTAAATGTATGTAATGGAAGTTGTTGTATTAATTTTGAAAAGAGTCTAAAGGATGCAAGATGTTGTGGGTCAATGTAAGCATATTGCAGTTACTTCATGTAATTGTGTACATTATGATGCGCCTGTTACCTGATTTGCGATATCTGACCATGCTATTGATAACCATTGAAAAAGGTGTATTTTGTGAGTTGTGTATATGTTATGCGTTTTTCTGACTTGTGTATCGTGTTGATATCGGCGATGATGTGGGTGTATTAACCGATATGTTATACTGGTTGACTTCAAATACTCATATATATATATATATATATATATATATATATATATATATATATATATATATATATATATATATATATATATATATATATATATATATATATACATATATACATACACACATATGTATATATATATATATATATATATATATATATATATATATATATATATATATATATATATATATATATATATATATATATATATATATATATATATATATATATATATATATATATATATATATATATATATATATATATATATATATATATATATATATATATATATATATATATATATATATATATATATATATATAATATATATATATATATATATATATATATATATATATATATATATATACATTTATATATGTGTGTGTGTGTGTGTGCATGATGGGTGGGTAGGTGACTGTGACTATGCGTGTGCATATGTATATATGTACGTAAAAAAAAATGTATTCCTTGTGACTTCTGATTAAGGTCCACACACCCAACTTAAGTATTTCTACTGTGTATAAATTTGCCAACGTTCGCTCGTCTCACCCACGCTTTTGCTCTCTCTCTCTCTCTCTCTCTCTCTCTCTCTCTCTCTCTCTCTCTCTCTCTCTCTCTCTCTCTCTCTCTCTCTCTCTCTCTCTCTCTCTCTCTCTCTCTCTCTCTCTCTCGTTCTCTCTACTCGACCACCTGCAGCCATGCCAAAAGAAACCGAGCCAGAATTTCTGCATATCACCCATTCGCAGTTCTCGTCATGGGCGTAGGAGGTGACATCCAGAAATAGGGAAGGAGTTGAGGTCGTGGATCTTCAGCCAACGTGACGGAAGGACAGAGATTCGTGTCATGAGCCGACGAGGGCAGATCATTAGTTTCTTTTCTCATGAGTTCGATTAGTTTATGGGGGGAGCGATCCTTCATGTATTTCAGGGAGAGGAAGTCGCGGATTGAACCAGGAATGTCGGCGGAATCATCGGGGAGAAATGGGCCACGCGGCCAAGCGGTTTTTAGAAAGTGATAAAGTCCGCGGGATCTGTACGCCACATTTCACTTACTCATGATTATGACAGGAAATGCTAATTTTTTACTCGTGTATTCATGTACATATACTCATATGTGTACTTGCTTATGTCTTTAAGCATAAGTATGCGTGTTTATGCGTGTAATCGGTTTGCACACGTACGTGTAGTGGGACCGCCCAAATCCTACGTGAGGGAACCATGGAGAGCGAGCGAGGAAGAGGGCTGAGGGCGAGAGCCAAGAATCCTAGGGATTCCGAACCACACTGCATCGGTGACCTTGCGCGAGGCTCCTCCAAGCTGATGTAATACGTTTGTTTATCCGCTGAGCTGGGCGGAGACCGGAGTAGGGGGGAGGGGCAGGGAGGGGTATGGGAAGGGGAGAACGTGGTTTAGGAGTGATTCATCGGGAGGGGGATGTTGGGGGGGGGGGGGTTGGATGTGGCTCGATAAGGGTTCTAAGACGGAGGTTGAAAGGAGGATGGATGAATAGGGGGGGGGGGGGGCGAGTTCGATAAACGTGCTAAGATTTATTTAAAGTGGATTTAGCTGTATAATTAAAAATGTGATACACTTTTATCTAAACATGAAGCATATATTTCTTACCTTCTGCACCTCAGTCCGAAAATATGACATGACATGCGCGACAGATTAAACAGAAAGTCGAGACGACACTTTCGAATCCAAACCAATGTCTCATCTCAAAAAAAAAAAAAAAAGGTGACATACGCGACATCCTCTCCCCTCTCCTTTGACTTTACTAATGATGAGGCGATAATTATAGCACATTTTAATTAGGAACTGCCAAGAGTGAGAGAGGCAAGTGACAAGCACGGCTAAGACCTCGCTGCTGGAATCTTGCTGTTAGCCTTGATCTTCTTTGGCTTATTCTAGGCCAAGATCAGAGGCTGGGGGGGGGGGGGAGAGGGGAGGGGGGAGAGGGGAGGGGGGGAGAGGGGAAGGGAGAGAGAGGAGGGGGAAGGGGAAGGGGGAAGGGGGAGAGGAGGGTATTTATAGGTACTGGTTCGAGAGAGAGAAAGAAGAGGGAGAGGAAGAGAAGGGGATGGAGAGAGAAAGAAAGAAAAAAAGAGAGAGAGGGAGAGGAGAGTTAGGAGTTAGGAGAGGGAAAGAGAGAGAGAAAAGGTTAGATAAAGATGTAGAAAAAGGGAAAGAGGAACAGACAGACAGACACACTGCAGACAGACTAACAGACAATCAGGCAGATATAGACACTAGAGTCATGATAAACAAGGAGAAAGAGAGATAGAGATAGAGATGGAAGAGAGAGAGAGAGAGAGAGAGAGAGAGAGAGAGAGAGAGAGAGAGAGAGAGAGAGAGAGAGAGAGAGAGAGAGAGAGAGAGAGAGAGAGATATAAAGAGAGTGAGAGAGAGAGAGAGAGAGAGAGAGAGAGAGAGAGAGAGAGAGAGAGAGAGAGAGAGAGAGAGAGAGAGAGAGAGAGAGAGAGAGAGAGAGTGGAAAGAAAGAGAAAAAAAGAGAGGATAAAGAGAGGCAGAGAAATATAGAGTGACAGAAACAGATAAAACTGTCGAATCACAAGTCCTAATGAAACAGGTGTTGGCCTTGACTCGTCTTGGCCGGCCTCGAGATGAAGCCAGTTTCTCTTCCTTTCTTCTTTTATTCTTCTTTTTTCTTTTTTCTCGGTTTCCATCGCAATTCTGAATTTAACGTGAAGTATTTATTTTCTTTATCTCCTTCATTAACCTGATTTCCTTCTTCTTCTTCTTCTTTCTTTCTCTTTCACGTCGGTTTATTAGATTAATTTTCTTCATCCTCATTTTTTTCTTCTTCTTCGCCTTCTTTTTCGTCCTCTCATTATTTTCATCTCTTCTCCCTTGACATTTTTATCTTCTTCTTTATTTTTACTTTTCGCCTTTTATTTATTATGTGTAATATACTGAAACCAGACAATTCCAGTTTTCTTTAGTCTGAATAAAGAAACTCTTATTGTTATTATTACCAAGTGCTTCAGTTAATCGATTATTCGAAATAGGTAGTACATAGATCGATAAAAAAGTGAATAAGATGAGTAACAGATGAATAGATCGATGAATAGATCGATAAGTAACCTGTGATAAGACAGACAGTGAATGGGTTACTTAGGACAATGAACGTACAGCGAATAGGGAATTGCTCATGGAGTCATCAAGTGATAAGTCACATTCAGCTTAAGTGTAGTATCAAAAGTTATTTAGTTTATTAATGAGGAGATTCTGGATAGAATTTGTTCCAACGTAAATACAAAATATATCACAGGTGATATAAAGAGATGGGAAATAAAGCAAGCTGTACATGACTATAATTGACTCTAGGAAGTCACGATATGAAAGCTGGATGTATGGAAGTCTTATTTGCATAATGTTTAGAAATATCTAGAGTAGTATACGTATCAAGTGTTAATGCAATTTACTTTCAGTTTTTTTTTTAAGTACGGAGTACCCTTTCAATTTAACAGTCGCTCTGGTTTACATAATTTTGCTTAGTGAAGTATATTGTTTTAGTTTAAGATAATTGGCAAATCTGTATTCCTGCCAGTGTTTTATGTATTGATCTTTTTTTTTTTTGCTGATATTGTTTAAATCAACCTTCAGTAGATAAGTAGAAAATATAATATACATACATATATATATATATAAATACCTCACCTTCAATAACTGGAAACCGCTAATCCGAAGTCCCTCCGAAGCGCATAAAAGTTAAAATCATTCCTCCATATTTTCAGGTAGAGAAAATGCCGTCAAAGAAGAAACTGAAGGCTTATATTAAGAAACTTGCCATGTAAATAAAATCTTGTAGTTTGCATGGGTTGGCCCCACCCTGCTGTGGTGTGTGACCCTGTTCCTCTTCCAGTAATAAGTGATTTATATATATTTTTCTTCATGTCACTTTGATTTTGATATCAAATAGTGAGATTGCCTCCGTCCCTTGATTGTGGAACCTTATAGAACATTGATAGAGACTGTAAGGTCATAACGTTCCCGGTAGAGATTAAATTTGCCCCTTGACTGTATAGCATCATTAAAAAGTGCCATTATTTTATATAATTTAATTTTCATAGAGTATCATCTTGTGTCAATCAACCCGCTGTTCTCGTGTCATGGGAATAGTGTTCTCGTATGTAATAATTGAATGTAAGATGTTTCCTCTTCACTTTTTATGTAATCTGTCAATTGATTCTAGGGAAGCTATACATTTATATTTCCCTTACTAAGCTTTCGTCTTAGACCTTGGGTAAGCAATAATAATTTCCTCGTGATAAGCGTGTAAAATAATATCCTATAAATTAATTCACAACTCTAATTAATATTCTTGCCAACGTGTTTTTTGTAAGAACTACAAACTTCATTTACACAAAAAGAGGTGTATATATATACTTTCCTAAAACACTATAATATGATATTTTGATTTTTAAATAATAAAGCTGCGTATCAACATTTTCAGAATCAGATAAGCTAATAAACAGTGAAAATGCACATACAAACATATCAATAAAGTGATACATTATTTTCTGGATTAAACTAAAAAATGCCATTGAATGATAATATCATTATATAAATTTCTGCTTGGATTGTTGTTTTTAAGATTGATATCACCTGCCGTGTGTTTTCTTCAGCTTGGGTTTATTGGTATTTTCGAATTTGCATTTCATCCCTATGCAATCGCAAATCCACATGTGTGTATATATGTATATATATATATATATATATATATATATATATATATATATATATATATATATATATATATATATATATATATATATATATATATATATGTATATATATATATATATATATATATATATATATATATATATATATATATATATATATATATATATATATATATATATATATACACACATTATTATTTTTTTAGACACCCTTCTAAGTTGTTTCTGTTTGCCTCTCTCTCTCTCTCTCTCTCTCTCTCTCTCTCTCTCTCTCTCTCTCTCTCTCTCTCTCTCTCTCTCTCTCTCTCTCTCTCTCTCAGTGGAGGGAGTTTTTTTATTATTTATTTCCATTTTTTTTTTTATTGTGTGTGTTTCCTTCTGCTTATTATATGCTTTAATTTAGCTATTCTTTTTTTCAATTCTATTTTTTATTCCATCTTCATTTCGCCTCTTCACCCTGTGTTCCTTCTCTTTTCCTCCCTTTATTCATCTTTTTTTTTGTCCTCTCTTCCTTCCTTTTCCTTATTTTGTTTTCTTCCTCCCGTCCACACCCAAACACAAGCACTGCCTACACTGAATAAACCTCAAAGTTTCTTCACTCTACACTCGCCCGCAGGAGTTCAATTAAACCATAACCATAAACCAATGGCATAAGATGGCCATTGGTGTTAACTACATTTCTCTTGTATATGTTTGCATAAATATTTGATTGATATCTATCAGGTACTTCAAAATGATAAGAAGAAAGATAAAAGAAACATTTAAAGAACTTAAGTCAGTAATTGGTATAAATATAGTAACTGCATAGCAGCGAATTCCCATGGCCAAGTGTATATAGCACAGTCAAAGTACTACATCCAGCGTGCAAAGCACCATGAAGGCATATTCACTGCACTGTGCATAGTACGGGCAACCCCCTCCCACCCGCACGCACACACGCTTAGTACCACCAAAAGACTTTCACTGTACACTTCACTGTATCTTACCTTACTCCTCGTCATGTCTTGTCACAGGTCGATGCCATGTCTACTCGTCCTTTCCTTCCTTCTTCTGCCCTAAGGTGATCTGAATGTTCTCTTTCTTTCCTCTTTTCTAGACATTATTTAAACCTTTGTGTAGGCCTATTCTTAGAGTGTGTGGTCTCCCATTTTTCATATGTATGTTAATTCCACATGCTGGTGTGTATTTATTGTGCTTCTTGATAAAACGTTTTGCATATAGGCCCACACATAATGAATTCTTTTCTCTATGAGCTCCCATCAACCGAATACACTAATATCACTCACACTAACACTGTAACATTGGGTTTTAAATCCTGTTGTCATGGTAACGGGAGTTATAAGGTCACAGTCTAATTTTAGGTTGCTATCAATAATTCAAAGAGAGAAGCACACATCTTTATACTTTTTCTCTCTTTTTGTACTTCTATTTTTTCTTTTTTTTATTATCGTTGTTCGTAGATTTCTTGTGTAAAGCTTAGTATTTCTGAAGAACATGTTAATTGCCGAAACATGCCAAGACAAGTCAAACATAGTTCTATAGAATTACCAAGACAAACATTGTCTTTCCTTCCTAACCGAGCACAATTCATAATAAAACAGAAGAAACAGATATAGGAAATATATAATTTTTATCCTATTTGCCATCTTCCGCCTCAAGGAAATTTCACTTGATGTCCTTACTGTACAAAACAAAATAAATAGCTCTTGATATCAAGAAGTAGGAGCAGAAACCAGTGCCAGATTCGCCCCGACAACTGCATCGTGTATTCCCGTAATCATGTAACTCCGAACAGCTGCAAGAGAACTGCAATATAGAACAGCTGACTCACTTGCTTTCCCTTACAGGCGTGTCAACCCTGTTTGCCAGACTAACAAGAAGTTGCTAGCTGATGATGCCGGCGTTATTATTTGCTTTTAAGCTATTACTGCCGCTTTTTGTGGGTTTTATTCTGCGCATTTGTGTGTGTGTGTGTTTTGTGTGCTAATACTTATTGCCATTGCTATCTAGATAATTATTTTTAGATATTTGTTTTGTGTAAAGAGCAGGAGAGAGAAACACACACACACACACACACACACACACACACACACACGCACACACGCACACACACACACACACACACACGCACACACACACACATACACAAACACACACACACACAAACACACACACACACACACACACACACACGCACACACACACACACACGCACACACACACACACACACACGCACACACACACACACACACACACACACACATACACACACACACACACACACACACACACACACACACACACACGCACACACACTCACACACTCACACACTCACACATATACACAAACACACACACACACACACACACACACACACACACACACACACACACACACACACACACACACACACACGCACACACACACGCACACACACTCAAACACTCACACACTCACTCACACACTCACACATATACACAAACACACACACACACACACACACACACACACACACACACACACACACACACACACACACACACACACACACACACACAGAAACACACGCGCACGCACGCACACATACACACGCACGCATACATACACACTAAAACAGAGAGAGAGAGAGAGGGAGAGAGAGAGAGAGAGAGAGAGAGAGAGAGAGAGAGAGAGAGAGAGAGAGAGAGAGAGAGAGAGAGAGAGAGAGAGAGAGAGAGAGAGAGAGAGAGAGAGAGAGAGAGAGAGAGAGAGAGAGAATGGTCAACACCTTATAATATGAATGTATGCAAGCTCTATGTAAACAGCAGGATGATGTTTCTAACATTTCGCCTATTTGCTCTTACAGTTGAGAATGCAGCTTGGAACTATACATTTCTAAAAGACAAACCACACCAAGGAAGGATTTTTTGTAACGAATGATATCAAAGCTACACTGACCCTTATCAAAGACCTTTCGTAACAATTTTATATTCCAGTATATGTATACGGTATGCTTTATGGATATTATATGCTGTATGCATATTGCACACTGTATATTAATTGTATACTGTATGCTATATGTATATTGTATGGTATATGTATATTGTATGCAATAGTTAAATTGTAGGCTATGTGCATACTTTATATTACACATTTTTTTAATCAAACGCCACTCTCCATCATCTTTTCTGACGCCCCCCCCCTCCCCGACTCCCGCAGGCCTCCGAAGTCGGCCCAGCGTCGGGAGTCGTCCGGGTCGGCGAGTCCGGGCACCGTCGCCGCCGACTGCGAGTGGCAGGGCGACAACTGGCGGCGCTCGAACCGCTGGACGCCCCCGTGGGACCAACAGGGCTCCGCGCCGTCCACGCCCCAGTCGGTGCCCTCCACGCCGCCACCCATGCCGGCGCCGCAGCAGGAAACCAACCTCAGCAGGGTAAGACGCACGCAAGGGGTTTCAGTCGGTCTTTTATTTACCTATTTCTTCTTTTTCTTTTTCATTTCGATACTTCGTTTTATAGTCAGACTCGGGTTTTCTGATTTTGTTTCAGTTGTGTGGTTGGGGTTGTTTATTATTATTATTTTTTTGGGCGTTATCTCTTTTTTTATCAAATATTACAGATGACGATGTTGATTTCGTTTTTGTTTCGTTCGATTTCACTTGATATATTTAGTTGTTATCGAGCTCTTTCTTTTAATTTCGTTCTTCACGGTAAGTATAGCAGAACAGTCCTTCTCTTCGACCCTTGAGTTTCCCATAAGTTAAGTACACATTCTACCAATTGTATTCTCTAGTTATTAGCAAAATAACTTCAAGGAGTACACATCAGTTTTTTTTATATATCCTATTCCATCTCGTGAACAAAACTCGACGAGACAAACGAAAGAACAAGAAGAAACACAAGATGCCAATAAGTTTTCTGTGACGTCTAGTTTGCGGTCTGGTGGATATTTCGTCCGGTGTTTTCCTTTCAATGTTGCAATATTGAATCCTCTCTAGTTCAGTCAATAGTGTGTTCAGTGACCTCTAACAAGAACAAATCCCGTCCACGTTTCGTCGTCATTCAGCATGTTGAACGTTCACTGTGTCCCATATAGCCATGTTTACCTTACAGTAATTTACTTTTGGTTCACTGTAACTTTTAGTAATTTACTGTACTATAATTTACTGCGATTCATAGGAATCTATAATAATTTACTGTAACTTACTCCAGGTCACTGTAATTTAGTGTAATGTTGTTGTAACGTCCTGTAATAAAATGTAAGTTACTGTACCTTATTGTAAGTTATTGTAATTCACCTTACCTGACTGTAACTCACTGTAACTCGTATGTCAGTCCCTGTTGCATGTGATTGAATGCTCCCCCCCTTTCTTCTCCCATTGCAGAATTCTTCGGAAATCTTCAACAAAGATGGACACAAGGTAAGAGGCCATTTTGATAATCCTTTAGTAGGCAGAGTAGCTAGTTACAAAATAATCTCTCCACATTATATGACAGACTATCGAATGACTCCATTTCCTCACAGCTTTTTTCGATTCCATTGAATACAGGTAAATTGCAGCTTAGCATCATCAGGTATTAATATTAAGACTAGATTCCAAACATTACTGCATCATTCAAATATCAATTTAACCAAAGTGCCAAATAATGAAAAAAAGGAAATAAATCCAATGGTTTGTCATATACTGTACAGTTATCGTATCCCTCTTGGCCTTTGCACTTTGCACAACCCTCTTGGAGCACCACATTCGCCAATCACGTGAGGTAAGTTTACGGTTCGTTATATTCCACAAAACCGCGACTACATTTAATTAGTGGATCATGTGAAGGTGGAGGAGGATCGGTACAACGGAGAAGCGTTATTTTTCGGATTTGATTGTGCGGAAAAACGGATCGATTAACCAAGGAAACGTTTTTTTTAATTATTATTAAAAAAAGGAAAATGATTCATAAATGCTTTCACTTTCATCCCCTGCGTTATTATTTTATTTTATTTTTTTGTGATCACCTTTTTTTCTTTACTATTATTAAGCTTTATTAATATGTCTCTTCTGTATTGTTTTGCGCCATTAGCCCAAATTTTGAATTTCCATTTTGATTTTCTTCTTTTTGTTATCAGTAAATATGATACTAATGCTCTTTTGTTGCAAATTTCTAAAAATAACAATAAAAAAATTAAAAAGCTACATATAGCCTAAAAACTCAAAAAAGGCACCAATATATAACAACATAACGATAACAATTCTCTTAACAAAAAATAACAAACCCCTTTAACAAGCTTTAACCACCAAGCTTCTAATTCTAAAAGTAACTACAGTAAAGTCCCTCAATGTTATAATCTCGGCGCCTTTAACCTTTGACCTTTGACCCTGTCTGTGACCTGCGCTCTAACCTCTGCTCCCAGGATGGCTCGAGCCCCGTTCCCTGGTGGCAGAATGACGGAGATGGAGAAGAGAAGCAGGAGGCAGCGGGGGTGAGTGAGGAAGAAAGAGGAGGGGGAGAAGGAGATTGTGTGTGGAGGGGGTGGGAGAGAGAGAGAGAGAGAGAGAGAGAGAGAGAGAGAGAGAGAGGGAGAGGGAGAGAGAGAGAGAGAGAGAGAGGGAGAGGGAGAGGGAGAGAGAGAGAGAGAGAGAGAGAGAGAGAGAGAGAGAAAGAGAGAAAGAGAGGGAGAGAGGGAGAGAGAGAGAGAGAGAGAGAGAGAGAGAGAGAGAGAGAGAGAGAGAGAGAGAGAGAGAGAGAGAGAGAGAGAGAGAGAGAGAGAGAGAGAGAGAGAGAGAGAGAGAGGGAGAGAGAGAGAGAGAGAGAGAGAGAGAGATAGATTGAAAAAAATAGATGGATGGATAGATAACAAAATAAATAAAGAAATAGAGAGAAATTTGTGTGTGGGTGTGGGTTCTTATATGTGTGGGTTTGTACGTATTTCTATGTACGTATTTCTATTTGTATGTG